AGTCTGCAACTCATCAGGCCTCCACAACATCAGCTTTGGGATCTGTGTACAAGGAGACACTATTTTGTATCCCCGTGACGCAGCAACAGGCACCCTCTTAGCTCATAGAATTGAACTGCGTCTCTGTATTGGTATGCACCCTCACAAGACGAGGACAAACTGAGCTATTCCATGTGTGATAGGACCTTCAGACAATCCCCCTGCACAGGCCAAGTCTTGGCTTTGCCATATAACACTCAGTCTGTTATATGGGATCACATATGTTTAATAGGGCTGGGACCATTTCCTTCCCAAGAGATAACTTATATGTGTTGTAGAAAGGGGAAGGAGTGAAGCATGAGTTTTCCTAAAGTCTCTATGTCTTTCCATATGTCCTGAGAGTTTTGTCATGCTAACCACTCTGTTATGTTTATAGTGTAGATAAAACGTACTGCTCCTCTAGTACCAAATCCCTTGATCTTTGGTCAAGAATTTGTTCTAAGCATTTTATCATGAAAGGGAAACAGAGATATGATCTAATTTTACATGAACACAGTCAAATCAAGAAAGAAAGAAAATCATGCATATCAGAAAAGACGAAGCTTTCTTGGTGATAGTTAAATTATCTGAACCCAAGCAAGTAAAAGAATAAATAATTCCAAACAACTGAGTGGAAAATGTTGCCTTATTCTGACCATAACTCTTCCACCACTGGCCCCACACTCTCACCAAGTTGAACTTTATCTTTACCCTCAAAGGCCTTTCCAGTATTTATTTTTGCCTTTCCCTAACTCTCTCTCATAACTTTCCAATCTCACGTGTCCCATTATCTCTCCNCACTCTGTTATGTTTATAGTGTAGATAAAACGTACTGCTCCTCTAGTACCAAATCCCTTGAACTTTGGTCAAGAATTTGTTCTAAGCATTTTATCATGAAAGGGAAACAGATATGATCTAATTTTACATGAACACAGTCAAATCAAGAAAGAAAGAAAATCATGCATATCAGAAAAGACGAAGCTTTCTTGGTGATAGTTAAATTATCTGAACCCAAGCAAGTAAAAGAATAAATAATTCCAAACAACTGAGTGGAAAATGTTGCCTTATTCTGACCATAACTCTTCCACCACTGGCCCCACACTCTCACCAAGTTGAACTTTATCTTTACCCTCAAAGGCCTTTCCAGTATTTATTTTTGACTTTCCCTAACTCTCTCTCATAACCTTCCAATCTCACGTGTCCCTTTATCTCTCCAGGGCT